ATGTCTAGAACTGCCCACAGCCAAGCCTTTCTAGCCGCGATCTGCGTCGGTACATGTTTTACGTTTCTCTAGATATCTTTTGGGAAAATCGTTGCGCAAAATTTGGATGAAATCGTGTTGGATGAAACACAAGGGACAATAAGAATTGGCAGGTAATACAGCACGCGAGATATGAAATCTGGTACGAAAATTAGGGCATGTAGCGGTGTTTGCCGTGTGTTCAACGATTTTCGAACAGAAACCACAAGTTGATTTCTCCGGCATTTGTGAAAAATTGCGCAAACGTAAGGCAGAATTTGCAAGCAGGAACTCTGAACTATACCGAAAGATATCACACAAAATATAATCTAGAAATTGCAGAATCGGTAATGAAGCTGAATTTGGCCGAGCTTGCCACGCAATAATTCCGATGTGGCAATGACTTCACCAATTGATAATCCTGACGACGCAGTCACAGAATAAGCAATCGGACCCCGTGCAACTAGACACGTGCATTCACAAAATGCATCGTGTTATGTGACTCATTGCTGCCACTAAGTGTCAATCATCTCGTGCACTATACCACACCTGGTATTTCCTGCTCGACTTGTTCAACATTGCGATTTCATTTGCTTAAAGTTTGTTTGTCCATTTCTAATCAGTTAGATATTTAGGTTCTTTTTGCTTTGTCTTTGGGTTTGATCGTTTTCCTTAGGTAGTCCGATAAGTTTTGCACGACTTTGCGCGCGCTGTAACTATAGCCGGTCTACCGACACCTTTTTACTCAGCACTTATCTTTGCACATTGAAACCACATTTTGCAGAAAATGCTCCTCTTTCCTTCGAATGATTTTCCTTTGGAGTTACATTTTCCATTCCTTATATGGTTTCCATTGACCCGGCACATCTGGCCGCCATCAGTTGGGTTGCCATTCTCGGATTTGCTATTATTGCCCTCCCCAAGTTGTTCCACTGTTCGATTTTTTCGATTACAAATCGACAACAGCAGTACATCAGCCATTTGAACTGATACTTCCCTGCCACACAACCATAATGACCTACGAAATAAAGAATAATAAGAGGTAGAGAAGGGGGACTTACCTGAAAAGCTTAATGCCCTAAACAAACATTCAGGGCCAAGGCGCCTACACCTTGTGTAGACAACATACCGTCACAAACAGCTGGCTATCGTGCAAAGTTAAGGCTCCATCGGCGAGACAGCTTCCTTACGGCTTTCACTATCCCGCATCATAATCAGCCACTACCCCACAAGTAACTCAGCAACAAACACACTTTAAACAGGTAATCCACTTAGGACACGACAGCAGACGCGCCATTGATGTCGGTTACGAGCCTTGTCCGGTAAACTCTCGAGCCAAGCACAAGGTGTGTCACGTAGACCCCAGCATGGAAAGCGAGAAGGACCAACGGCAACCAGTTTGGTCGTCAGTGACTTCATTTCCCGCTGCCAAGTCAACTTCTGTCCACATCGAGTTTTGCGCCAGCCTACATCCGGAAGACTAAACAAGGTCCTCGTAAGCAAACGGTGACCAGACATACGTAGCACATGCCCGAGCCAACGCAACCTATTCAGTGCTATCTGTTGTTAAAGAAACCAGATTGTTTATCACTACCTAGTACTCGCCTACGTACATCATCGTTGCGGACACGCTGGTGCCATCGGACACCAGCAATGCTTCGCAGACAGCGATGATCAGATTAGATCTTCAGACCGAATGGGCCAAGTCTCACTACCATCGAACAGGACGGCCCTAACTGTCGCCTTGAATACACGGCCTTTCAGACGCAGAGAAGCTCCCCTCTGTCGCCAAGGATGCCGCAGGTTCGAAAGGGCGGCTCTGGCCTTTGCACTGCTTGAGCTGACGTCAGTTTCTATGCACCCATTGTTGCTGCTGCAGCTGCCACGATAAGTGTATGGATCAAATACCTCGAGTTCCTCGTTAGCAAGGGTCAATGAGTCGTAAAGTGACTGGTGGTCCTGCAGCAACACTTTGCACTTTGAAGGTGCGAAGTGCATACTAAATAATGGGACCCCTCTGGACAGGTTATTCGGGTTGATTGTGCCGCCGCAACATCGTCGAAAAGCGAGACGATATAATCTGCATAATCAACTACTCTTTCACCAGGCCGCAATTCAACGCCTACATTGTGAGATTCCACAAAGGAACACTCCATGATAGACACCACGACGAAAATGAACAAAAATGGGGAAATCGGACAACCCTGACGAACGCCACTTGTGGTCGGAAAGTTATCCGATAGGCCACCGTAGACCATGACACAGCTTGTAGTGTTCGAGTATAGAGTGCGTAGGATGTTCACATATTTCGTGCGGACACCTTTCCGAGCAAGTATTTCAAACAGAATCGATCAATCGACTGAATCGAACGCACTCATGAAATCGAGGAACACAGCTATTGTCGGTCTGTGGTGTGCGTGGCGCTGCTCTAGCACCTTTCGCAGCGTGAATATATGGTCGATACAGCCCCTCCTGGGCGGAAACTGGCCTGCTCTTCCCTAATCTGAGATTCCTGTTCCACATTGAGGCGACGAATGAGAATCGATGCCAATAATTTTGTCACAACTGGCCTTAGGCTAATACCCCTGTGGTTAGAACAGTCTGTGCGACTGCCCTACTTGTGTATTGCCACTATAATCGATTCGCTCCAATTAGCCGGGATACTTCCTTCCCGATACGTTCGAATAGGGAGGTCAGTGCTTCGCAGATGACCTCACCTCCATCCTTAAATAGTGCAGTTGGGGGGAGGGGGAATCCGAGCCAGCGGCTTGAAAACGATTGTGGACTGTGATCGCTTTTCCGAACTCGGCCTCCTATGGAGGCTCTAAACTAACCGTCCATGGCTCCTCCTGCATCGCGTGAGTTCGAAAAGGCTCGGGAGCAGGGGGCCAGCTGAACTGATCTTGAATGCGCTCTGCCCAACAAACCATACGGCGCTGCTTATTGTGAATCAGTGCACGCGCGCTGTCTCTGATTGTCTCACTGGCACCTGGTTTTCTGCGACAAGTGCGGATCAGCTGGAAGTGTTTGCGATAATTGCCTACTGCTCCTGTCTCCTCCATGTCTTGAGCTCGGCTGCTCCACCAGGCTTCCTTGTCAGCACCTAGGCTCCGCTTTAGTTCGCGCCTACTATCCCGTCTAGTCACGTTGTGCTCAGATCCAGCCAGGTTTCTTTTAGATTTCGGCAGCTCCACAGACTTCTCCGATATCACATGACTGGAGTGCTGTCCACTGATAGTGCCACAAGCAGATGCTCTTGCAGCGTGCATAACGACCGAAACCCTATCCCACTGAAACTCAGTGTCATTGAAACAAGACAGCGAAAGATCGGTACGCAGTGCATCCTGGTAGGCTTGCCTGACCGAAGGCTGAGATAACTTCGGTTGCCAATAGGAGGAGACGCTTGGTGCTCCTACCGGTAAACTTCATCGGGAAACGACAGCCTATAAAGGCAGGAACACAGTCGAAGCAGGTATACTAGAACGAGCAGCAATCCAGGACGGAACCATGCCTGTTCGCAAGGCAGCGGGGAGGTAGTAGTGATTTAGTTTTGCAGAAATGGACGCCATCCCATTTCAAACCCCCAACCTGGAGGACCATGAGAGTGAATTTGTCTGACCTCTCACCATTGACAAACCTGGTATAAGTATTACTCAAGGTGCCCGGAGGCACTACCCAGTATAGCTCAATGTGTCAAGGAGGTACGCAAACCGTCGCACCACGTTAAGGTCCAGTTCGATGATACTTACCACAGAGTCGACATGGTACGCCATCTCAGTCCTAACGTGATTTCCAAACCTCGGGGACACGTTTCTCGCTTATATCGACCCCTCAGTGTTACGGAAGCTGGAAGGCGCCTTCTGTCTCCCTCTGGCCTAGTTATCAATCTCGATCATCTCCACCCGAACAATGCAGGCGATAACGAATTGTGTTGCGGGATGCGGTATTCTAGCTAGGCAGCATTAAAATGGCTTCTCTAGTTATGATCTCGGTAATCGGAACGAACTTTGCACACCTTCACCGTATTGCAAAACCGATCCACGACAAACGAACTTCCTTGGAAGGTCATCGGACGCTTGTGTTTACTTTTAAATGGTAAAATCGGCTTGCTTTCAACTTTTCCCGACACGAACCAGATTTTCTTTGTTTCTTTTATTTTGCGCGCATCTGCTTTTTTCTACCTCGATCAGAGATGACTTTGTAGGTGCGTGCACTGTGAGATGTGTCGAAGTCCATCTTCCTTTTTAATCCCCCTGTACCCATATGCTGCACCGTTATGTGTTAAACCTGCTCTTGACATTCTGCTCTTCCGCTTTTCATTTGACCCCACCAACCAACTAGGGAAATTGGATTTTATGCGACGTAATCATTTAGGTTTTTTCTTGATCCATTTACATACATTACGTGCTACTTTACCGTGCACGCTGTTATACTCACATTGGCCCCCCTAGCTTGACTTAACATCCGCGTAGCTCGTCAGTCTCTGTGTGTGCCAGATCACTAAAGCCGTTCTGGTTTTTACTTTTGGACACTTTAATGACTGCCCCCCCATAGAATCTGTCATCTGTTAAATTTGGATAAATTTCGCTTTTCGCCAGGAATGTTGTTTGAAACTGTGGATGTAATGAGTCCCGTCAATAGCTCATTCCGTGTGCGTTGGTCTCACTTACGCTTTTCTTCTGTCAGACTTTTGAACCAAAGTTTCTAGTTATCCACCTTATCCGTTTTTCTACCCAGCCTTCCAGCCCACTCGCAATCGCAAGTGCGACAGCTAATCCGCTGACTGATGATGATTGGACCAAAGAACTATAAATTTCCCCAACTTGGTTCTCCTGTTCGTCACATATTTACTCACTCACGTTTTTTTGTTGACTCACACTTCATATGCCTGCTTGTACACTTCCTTACTACAACACTTATCATATCTGCTGCTATGCTTCTGTGAATCGCCTGAGTTCTGTTCTTCTACTAATGTTTTGCAGATTGTCGATTTCGAGTGACTTTACGCAAAACGGCTAACGGGAGTAAATTGCCTCAAGGTATTCAAGGAAGCCTTCATGTGCAACGCTGGAGACTTTGCTTCATTGGAGAACCTTCCGCTGGATGCAGGTTTATTTGCTACTGGCGTTTGGACACAGTTGAGAAGGCCTATACCATGACCTTACCCATGCAACAATCTTCCGTCAGCCAGACTTTTGATTCGCCAATCTCCCGAAAACCCGTGGGATCCGATGCTCCACATCGCGTCTCATTAGGTAGTGTAACATCTCCATCGGTATCTACTCCTTCGCGACCGAAGCACGTTTTCGTTTTGGAGGCGAAGAACACTGCAGGAAAAGGTCAGTGTCCAGTTTCATCTCTATCTGATGTTTTCCTCTTACATGGTATCGTGCCATCCGTAAGACCTAATTTACATCCAATACAGCAACTGAAAATTCCACTAGTGATGATGTCTCGATCAAGTTATCCAAGGTCTTTCAGCTTCCTATTCTGCGGTCTTCTGAACTGTGAGCATGCGGTTTTTCCCATCCTTTGCACCTCACGGCCTTAACTAAATCCGTTAAGTATTTTCCTACATTGATGCCCACATCCTTTGTGGACAGAGTTTGTTAGAAAGCTTATGGCTTTTCTCTGGTAACGTGCAAGTCAGTTCATAGTGAGTGTCGCTGTATCAAATATAGTAACCTAGTTATGTCGGTCACTGCAGTCTCCCATATACCAACGGTCTTAACCACCGACTGGCGAGAGTCGAGTTTCCGTCGCAACGAGGCTGGACCTTAGCGTGGTGCGACGATTTGCGTACCTCCTTGACACATTGAGCTATACTAGGTGATGCCTCCGAGCATCTTGAGAGCTACTCCTATCAGGTTGGTCAATGGTGAGAGGTCAGACAAACTCAGTCTCCTGGTCCTCCAGGTTGGGGGTTTGAAATGGGATGGAGTCCATTTCTGCAAAACTAAATCATTACTACCTCCCCGCTGCCTTGCGAACAGGCTTTTGAGCCGAAGGCTTTGGATGAGGACCCTAATCATCCTCCTGTCTAAGTCTGAACCCCTGGCAGTATCTCAGCCCACACACAACCATGATTTCTTCCTCAAACATAAACTACGTCCCGCATCGGCCGTCGCGCGGATTATTAAGGGTCGCCTTATCTGCTACATACAACAGGACGGATAAGCGAAAACATGGCACTGCTGGCATCTCCCTTCTTTCTTTTCCACCTTTTTCTCGTACTCCCATTCCGACCCTCATTAAGAAGCTTCCTACTATAATTCCCAGCTTAATTGACAGCAACCGAAGTGCCCCTGAAGAGACATCGGCAGTCACCATATCGCGACACGTACAGGACGCCTATCGGCAAAAATCCCTTGTAAGGCTACTCTATCCCGTTTTCCTGGCAGCGTTCAACGTTCGCACTCTAAGACAACTAGGTCAACGGGCTGCACACGCACGCACCTAGGACACACTGGGTATTGATATGTGTTGTGTGTCCGAAACTAGGTTCAATGAACCTAATGGGGTTGTTGAATTAACTGCACCCGGCTTATCCTCTCGTTATTGGTTGCACGCATCCGGAGACACCGATGCAGCACTCACGGGTCAAGCTGGTGTAGGTATCATTCTAAGCTCCATGGCTAAGGCATCTTTGGTTGATTGGATTCCGGTGAACAGCCGTTTATGTGCAACCCGTTTGATGACATCAGTTAAGGTTGATAAACGAAGTAGTACAAAACGCTGTTTGTTTGTGATTTCCACTTATGCTCCCACCGACTGAAGTTCTAATGCTATAAAGAACACATTCTATCACGAACTGAACGCGCTACTACGCAGTGCTACTAGCTCAGATATTATGGTACTTGCGGAGGGTATGAATGCACAAGTAAGGCTTCTGAGCACTTCAGAAGCTCAGCTGGGTGGTAATTATGGTCTTAACCTCGAACGGACTGACAACGGTGAGCGTCTGCTACAACTGTGTACTTAGCACCAGTCGTTTCGTAGTAGCACTGTTTTTAGACACAGTGGGTGCCGAGGTGCTACTTGGCGTCCTCCTGTAGCTGGACATCGATGGACCCAAATAGTTCACGTTGCCATAGATTATGATGGCGTGGTTCCGTCCTGGATTGCCGCTCGTTCTGGTATACTTTCGTCGACTCTGATCCTGCCTTGGTACCCTGTCGTTTCTCGATGAACCTTACCGGTAGGAGCACCAAGCGTCTCCTCCGATTGGCAACCGAAGTTATCTCAGCCTTCGGTCAGGCAAGCCTACCAGGATGCACTGCGTACCGATCTTTCGCTGTCTTGTTTCAATGACACTGAGTTTCAGTGGGATAGGGTCTCGGTCGTTATGCACGCTGCAGGAGCATCTGCTTGTGGTATTATCAATCGGCACCGCAGCAGTCATGTGATATCCGAGAAGTCTGTGGACCGGTCGGAATCCATAAAAATGCTCTGGCCTGGCACTGAGCACAATGAGACTAGATGGAACATGAAGCGCGAGCTATAGTGGTGCCTGCATTTTGACAGGGAAACCTGGTGCATCAGTCGGGCATAGGAAATTGGGGAGACAGGAGCAGTAGGCAATCATCGCAAACTCTTCCAGCTGATCCGCACCACTTGTCCCAGAAAACCAGGTGCCAGTGAGACAATCAGAGACAGCGCGGGTGCACTGATACAGCATAAGGAGCGCTGTGTGACTGGTTGGGCGTAACACTTTCAAGATCAGTTCAACTGGATCCCTGCTTCCGAACCTCTTTCAACTCAGGTGATGCAGGATGAGCCATAGATGGTTAGTTTGGAGTCTCTGCTGGGGGCCGAGGTCCGAAACGCGAGATGGCCCGGATTTCTTACTACCTACACTATTTGAGGATTAAGATGAGGTCATCTTCTGCGGTGCACTGGAAGGAGATCTTTCTGGTTAAATGAATTGAATCCATTATAGTGGCAATATACAAGTAGGGCAGTCGCGCCCACTGTGCTAACCACAGGGGTATTAGCCTCACACCAGTTGTGATGAAGTTACTGGCCTCCATGCTCCTTCATCACCTATCTGCGGAAAGAAAATCTCGGATTAGGGGAGAGCAGGCCAGTTTCCGCCCAGGACGTGGCTGTATCGACCATATATTCACGCGGCGGCATGTGCTAGAGCAGTGCAATGTATACAGCATGCCGATAATAGCTGTGTTCCTCGAGTACAAGAGTGCGTTCGAGTCAGTAGATCGATGCATTCTTTTCGAAATACGGGGAGAGGTGTTCCCGCGAAAATGTGTACATCTATACTCAAGTTTAACAAGCCGTGTCCGAGTCCACGTAGGTTTGTCAGATATCTTTCCAACCACAAGTGGCGTTCGTCAGGGTTTCCAGTTTCTCCATTTCTTTCAGTTCTCTCGTGGACTGCATCATGTAGTGTTCCCTTGCGGAGCCTCACGTTGCAGACGTTGTGGTGTTGCCTGGTGAAAGGCTTGTTGATCTTTATTATGATCTTTATTGTGCTGTTTAGCGATGTCGCGGCGGCGTAATCCACCCTGGATAGCCGCTCTAGAGTGCTCCCATCTCTTTGGTGTACGTTTCGCACCTTCAAAGTGTAAAGTCTTGTTGGAGGACGACCAATCACTTGATCACCCGTTGACCCCAGATAGCGAAGAACTCCAGGTAGCAGTTGCATCAGCAACGATGGGCGCATAGAAACTGAATTCAGTTCACCCATTGCAGAAGCCGGATCCCTCTTCTTGAAACTGCGACATCTTTTGCGACAGAGAGGGGTTTTTCTCCGTCTGAAAGACCGTGTTTGCAAGGCCACCGTAAAGGCCGTTAACCCCTGTGGAAGTGAGACGTGGCCTCTTCGGTCTGGGGATCTGAGGCGCCTTCAAGTCTTTGATCATCGCTGTCTGCGGGGCATTGCTGGTGTCGGGTGGCACTAGCGTGTCCGCAGCAATGATGTGCGTAGGCGAGTACTTGGCAGTGACAAACAATCTGGTTTCTTTAACAACAGATAGCACTGAATAAGTTGCGCTGGCCTGGGCACGTACTACGTATGCCTGATCACCGCTTACTTAGGAGGGCCTTGTTCAGTCTACCAGGTGTCGGATGGCGCAAGACTCGAGGTGGACAGAAGTTGACTTGGCAGCGGGAAATGAAGTCACTGACGACCAAACTGGTTGCCGTTGGTCCTTCTCGCTTTCCATGCTGGGGTCCACGTGACACGCCTTGTGCTTGGCTCGAGACTTTACAGGACACGGCTACCAGTGGACACAAGTAGCGCTTCTGCTTCTGTCCTCTTGTTTTACTGTTTAAAGTGTATTTGTTGCTGAATTATCTGCGGAGTAATGGCCGATTATGACGCGGGATTGTGAAAGCCGCAAGGAAGCTGTCTCGCCGATGGAGCCTTAACTTTGCACGATAGCCAGCTATTTGAGACGGTAGGTTGTTGACAAGGTGTGGTCGCTTTGACCCTGAATTTTCGCCTAGGGCATTATGGTTTTCTGGTAAGCGTCCCTTCTCCCTCTTTTTATCTTTCCTTTCGTAGGTCATTTTCGTCGTATTGCAGCGAAGCATCAGATCAACTCGCTGATGTGCTGTTGTTGGTTAATTGATCCTGTCGATTGCGTTCTCGCGTGAGCTATGAAAGTAATATGGCACAACGGTTTAAATGCTGCTCATCAGTCAGTTCACGTGGTACAACTTGTCCGAGCTTTGTGACCATTCCGGATTGGCGCAGATGGTGATGGACGGTCGTTTTTGGAAGGCGGTTTAACAAAACTAAACGCACACTTAATATCGGATCCTCCTTTGGAGCGTCCTGGATGCTGCCGGCAATGCCGCTGGCTTGCACCCTTGTTCTCTATGTTTTGACAATTTTTGTTTCCGTACTTTAAATCGACGAAACTAAAATTTCACCACACCTTAACTTAGATCATCCGTGCCTAGTATGCCGCGCATGTTTCGACAAGTCCTGACCGCTCTGCGCCCTTGTAGGAACTCGTACAACAAGCATACGCAAACACTATATTGGTCATTTTGCCAATACCGCATCTATCGCTAACAGTAGAATAAATGAACGATGTAAGATTACTGTTATAGTTTGTCCCCTTATTTGCCCAAGTAAAATCTTCATCCTGGGTAACCGGGAAGCTCACTGCCCTCGCAACACATGAACACTCCTAACCTTTTCGCTGACTGTTTCTTTTCCTCCTTTTTGTTATTTTTGCCCATTGCTGTGGCGCTCTGCCAGTTGTTTATTGGCCAAGTGTTTATTACATACATAAACCCATATAAAATAACCTTCGAGTAACTCCTAAAACTTCGCCGAATAATGGCAGTTGTTTCTGGGACAACTTAATGCAATTATTACTGTTTCATGGAGCCATGTGCGTCATGGCGACCAACCACATCTGCTGCACCCTTATCTACTCAATTATACATAGCTAAATGAACTTAGGTCTGGTTGCTTTATCATTTTTGTACTCTTTATCACGAAGCTGCATATAAATTATGCCATCATTGAGGGTGATGTGGACACTCAGTGCGTAGCTATCTTTCAAGTCCCACTTCCCGCCATAACTAATCCACTAAATCGCTTGTTCATAGCTACACTCACCTCAGGTCCACTCGATTTCCCGCGTATCCTTGTTCTCCTCCTGATTTGAGTTGTTATGTAGTGCTGTCAGCCATCCCGTTCTTATCAGAGTTTCTAAGATTAATCATTGTTTGTGCTTCGTAGCCAGGAGACTTGCGCTATCGTTTAGTGAGATATTTCAGCTGTGTCTCTTGAACAGCCATTTACTGCGTACAATAAATCCATTTAACGTGATGTTAATCATGCTGTTGCGCTCTACACCGTACGTTCAATCAGCGTTTTACATAAACCATTTTCAAGGTTGTTTAAGATGTTAAAGACTAATCGGAGCTTGATAACACACGCACCAAAGTTTTCGATGGCTTGGCTGCCGCTGCCTCGCACTAAAACCATGATGTTAGCTGAGCCGATTGTTTGTGATAATCGGCGCTGACTGAGCCCTACAGCAGTACCTTTCTTTGTGAAAATGCGAAGCACATTCCCTACGTTGCAGTGCTCTACGTTAGTCTGTCCACCAAAGTTTATACGCGTTGACTGAGTATTTAATACGACCGCCATAAACACTGATAGTCTTGGCTTCCTTTTGCTTAGATGACCTTCGTCCTTTCGGTTCAGTAATGTACGTGCTCAGCATTCCTGCTTTATATACAACCTGCCTCTTTGTCCTTTTCCTGCTTGAAAAATCATGAATATCAGTCTGTTTCATGAAGACTAGTTACCTCATTTACTTTGTTATATCGTTTTCATTTAGTCAAGTAAGTGTTCCATGTTATTAGCTTTCTTCGTCGTCCATTTTGTGATGGGCCCGCTCTTGTTACTTTTCTTAGGCCGCGGAACAAATACCTTTGAACTTGATGGCGGCTCAATTAATGAATTAATCACTGTCATTGACCAATTTATGGCCCGCCGATTTTGCCGGAATCTTGATGCTCGCGATTTTCCAACGCGCCCTAAAACAACGGGGTCCGCGTCTAGTTCCCTATGTGTGGGTTCCAACAACCCGTTGACCTTCATTTCGAAATATTCGCACCCGTCGCTTGCGTCATCACCTGGTGCCTCAGACGGTTGCCATTCTGCTTCTCCAGCTCAAAATGTTCCAAGTCAAACCCATTCGACAGGTTCTTCTGCTCACAAGTCGAATCCTCTTACGATGCCCATCAGCTGTGAGTTTCTGACCCCTGCACACCTATCTCCCCTCCCCGATCAACTTGCACCATATGACTAATCAGTTTCATTGCTCCTCTCAAATAATTTTGTCACCTCATCACACAGGTACTCAAACTGTACCTCATTTTTTCACTCTCCGATCATATATCAGATATTTCTCGGCGCTGTAACAGCTCTGTTAAATTCGACAGTGCGCGAACGTGTGATAAGCCGACTCTGAAGTCCTACAGTTACCCTCAGAGATCCATAGGAGCCACTGGGAACAGCAGTGAGTTGTTTTGAATCGCTGTGATTATTCCGGCTTTTGCTTTGCGTTGCTGTTCATCTTTCTATACGGAGCACAGTAAACATGCGATTCTCCACTGCTACAGCACTGCTTAGTGATCATCGTTTCTGGTTAGTGATCCCGAAAGCTATTCAATATCTGGCCACTAGTATAATTGGCATAGTGCCCCAACATATGGGAAATACAATAAACAAAAGAAGAGCGAAAACAAGAATATAAGTGTTTATGAGAATAGAGTGTCACAAAATGCCTGCCATTGCGCACGGTTTATTGCCATATTCGAGAGGGTTTCCAATCATGCGCGTTCGAGATCCTTGTGTCCCCAGCCGGGAAGTCGAGAGCGCTCGACCACCGCTGTCTTTGACGTTAGCTCCTTCATGCTCCTGGTCCAAGTTCTACTTTGGCCACCTTGCTTTCGCTTCCAGCCGACTTCTGCCCGCGCGAAGAGAGCACGGCGAGGTACGCGATGAGTAGTCATGCGAGGCACATGTCCAAGCCACTGAAGTCTGCGCAGTGAAATTATGCTACTCAGTGGTTGGCAGTCTGATTTGAAATGCTCCGTCAAACATCCTCATTACTAGTGGGACGTTGCCATCGTTCACAAGCTATGCTCCAAAAGCAGTGGTGATCAAAAACAGACAGCCTCTTAACATCCTTTACGCGAACAGGCCACGTTTCGCAGTCATAGAGCAATACCGTTCTTAACGTGACATTGTAAACTCTGCCCTTCAGAGATAGACACAGATCGCATCGACACTATAGATGTCGGAGATACGCAAAAGCAACCCTAGCCTTGGAGATGCGCAAAGAGACCTCATCCGTTAAACCGTTAGCGCTGAGGCAGTTTCCGAGGCAAACGAACTTGTCTACCACTTCCAGAAAATGACCTGAAAGGGTAAGAATAGGAGCAGTGCCTAGGCCGTCCGGCAGGAAGACCTTGTATTTCGATGGTGCGAAGATCATCACAAACTGCGAGACAATCACTTCCAACATTTCGGGCGGCCTGTGAGGAGTCGCAGATTACGCCAGCATCGTCTGTATACTCCAAATCCCAAAGTCGACCCTCGGAAGCAGTTCGACTGCGCTGATCTCGCAGTTCTCCAGAGCACTCCATGATTTCGTTCATAGCAAAATATTGCAAGTAGGGGGATGCTAGGCAACCCTTCTAACGCCACTAGTGATACTAAAATTGGGCGAAAGTTCGCGTACACCCGCACTCGGCCCGAAGTTTGAGAGTAGATAGCTTGGAGAATGGTGACATACTTCTCGGGCAATCCCCTTTTCCGTAGACAACTCCAGAGTGCACTTCGGTAAAATGTTTGACGACGCTCGAGTATTTGGCGGAGTGTAAAGATGTGATCAATGCAACTCTGACCTGAGCAGAACCCAGCTTGCCCTTCACGTATTCTCTGTTCGCGTACTAAGCTGAGCTTCCTTAAAAGCAGGGCGACGAGCACCTTGGATGCAACGTAGATGAGACTAATCCCTCTGTGGTTGGCGCAGTCAGTTCGGATACGATTTTATAAAACGAGCACGTTATCTGCTGGCTCTAATCAGATTGGATAAATTCGACTACTCAGGTCTCTTGGGCGAGAGACCTTAACTCCTGAACAAGTGATGGGCCTCCGTTTTTGAAAAGAGTTGATGGGATTTAATCTGGGCCAGTGGATTTGTAGCGGTTTATGAGGCGAAACCCATGGACAAGCTCCCTCTCAGGTGGTGGTGAAGAATCTACACTCCAGTATGGGAACTCATCGGTGCTGCTGGCTAATTAAACTGCTGCTCAAAATGCTCGGCCCAACGCTTAACTCGACGTTTTTGACAGTGGATGGACGCCATTGGTCTCACATACACTTGACCTTTTGCCACCAGTAGATCGAATCATGAGGAAAAGCTTACGGAAATTCCCCTAGTTGGCTGCTTGCTCCATCTCTACGACCCGCTTCGCTATCTTCCTGGAGAAGCTGTTTGAGCTCAGCGTTGGTAATTCTTCGCAGTGAATGGTATTTGACGCCACTAGGAATTGTTCAACGGGCTTCGAGAAGTTGGAGAGCTCGCTTAGAGAACCAGTGGTTGAAGCCACAGACCAGCGTTGCAAAGTTCTACATGGCTCCGCGGATGTGTGCCAGTCTTCAGCCTTGAGGCGAAAGCATCCTGAAATGCGCGGAGAAAATTTAGCGACGTCAAGCGGTTTTTGGGAACACTGCTGGGAGCCACCAAATCGAAGTGCGAAAATGGCATACACGAGCACGTGATCCGAAGTATGGTAGCTACTCCTGATTGATTTGCAATTCTCTGTGCGGCCCCACCATTGATAACTGTTGGCGATGTGGTCCATTTGTGTCTACGTTTGGTCAAGTGATGGAGGTCTCCAGGTGGCGCGTTGACGTCAGAATCACCGAAAGCTAGTGGTCGACAGAAAGAGGCCGTGATCGGCGCAGATTTGGTGTACTCGATCATCGTTGTCCGTTCTGCGAACACCGTGGCCGTGTTGACCATCGAGTTCACGTTCGTCAACTTCAAGTATACCGACCTGCACGTTCAAGTCACCGGCAAGCACCACGATGTCGCTGTGACGCTTTTTACGGAGAGCCGGTCAGTTGACCGCAGTCTGTGGCAGCGTACCCTGCGACAATGAACAAACAACGTCTGTTGGCTCCGCGCCTGTACAGTCCCACTTACCCAACACTAGCCGCAATGCTTTGCGGTTCACCGGGTGAAATGCTTTGGTGAAATCAACAAACAACGAGTACAACGACTGTTGTCGCTCTCTGCACTTCTCCTGTAATTGACTAGCTGCAAACACCATATCTATGGTGCTGCGACCCGAATTCACTCGACATTTCCCGTTACGTTCAGTACCACAACTTGAGTGACCAGGCGGTGGAGCAGGATTCGGGCAATCACCTTGATCACTAGTTCAGCAACTTGATACCACGGTAATGCATGACACATTGTGAGTTCGCCGCACCTGCATTATGTTTGCAGTCTGTGTGCAGGCAGCGCCTGAGCTACCGTCGGTCAGCGTCCTCAGTCCGTTCACCGCCTTCAAAGAATCAAAGATTTCCTTGTGTTGGCAGCGTTCGGCGTAGCATTCCAACTGCTTCGCCTTCTCTGTCCACCATTCAGTTTTTCTGCGGCGGAGCTCTCGAGTCAGTCGCCGTCGAATCTTACGCAACTGACTCTTCTTCCCCAAGTCACAGGGGTCTGCCTAGTGTGCAGCAAATGCTGCATTCTTCTCCGATACCAATCCGCCAATCGCATTGTTCTGATCCAACCAATCGAGCCGCTTGCAGTTTTCGCGCCCGACGGTTTCCTCGGCAGTAGCTGTACCCTGGTCGCGAATGTCTGCCGCAGGTCTCACACTGTGGTTATGCATTCCACATCACACAGGCGGGCACTTATCGCCTTCTCCAGTTCCATCCTCTTCTCCACAGTACCTAGGGAAAGAACGTTAGATTTACACTCATTCACGGCGGAAGTGTAATATATAAATTTACGAACATATATGTACAATTTTTGATCAATGCCACACTCAGCTCCACGTAACGCATGTGTCATGCGCACTTCACGTATGTCACACTGACGTACGATGACATAGCCGAGCAGGTGAGCGTGACCACTCCGTGGGTTCGTCTGAGTTGCTAGATTACTCGTACTCAGTGCAAACCAGGGGTTCATGATCGTCAGTCTGTGATTGACACACAGTGAGAGCAGTCCGTCGCCGTTCGCATTCGCTGAACAGATGCTATGCGAACCGATAACATCTGTCCACACCGATGCATCACGCCCACCGTGGGCGTGGAAATCACCCAGCAGAAATAGTCGGTCGCTCCTCGGCACAGACCGTATCCCGGGGGATAGATAAGTATAGAATTGATCACATGGTACGTACTAATAAAACTGGCAAACACCACTTTCTAGTCGTCAGCGAACAGTCATCAGTCGCGCGTTGATGCTAGTGGACTCACCCACCAACTGGCCATTTAGGCCATTGGATAGTGCAAATGCGACCCTATGTTCGCGTGGTGCTGAGCGGACGTTTCTCACTCAGTAGAATGTGTAGCCGGCACCAGCTTACTTTGTTCAGCGAGCCGAGTCTCTGAATGCCGTAGTATGGATGTTGTAACGCGCCAGTTTCATCGCGACCAGTACAGTGCGTCGCTCGGCGCAGGCATACGATTGCGTTGATGGGCAATCCTATGAGTGGTGATGACCTGGATTGGAGGAACTAGCGACTTAGTTGAAATAGGGACGTGGAGTGTATGTGCAAGGGAAGAAGGAGGGAGGCGCCAACAGTAGAATGTTTTCGCTTATCCACCCCGCGGTATGCAGCAGATAAGCCGACGCTTTTTCTAAGGCCACGGCGCAACGGCCGATGCACCATGAATTTACTATTAGTGGCTTAATGGATATTTGGGGGGTTATACTAGAATACTGCCAGGGCGTCCACACCTGACAACAGAACGACGGGTCCTCAGCTAAAGTTTTTGATGAAGTGTACACCCGAAAGGCATCGCACCGAGCGCCATGAATTGGTGGACCGACTCACGCGGGATTGTGTGTTCTGCATATTAGCTAGAAGTAGAGTATTACCCAATTCCCACTCAGCGGTCGCCACGAGTAGGCGTCTAGGTCATGAGCCCCCAGCACATCAGCAGCAACAGATGGACGATCTGTCAGGGTCACACCACCACAAACGTCAGCGCGCCATGGGCTTTCCAGCTATTATATATATATATATATATATATTTACGGCAACTGCGAGGCTAGGAAATGCCTGCAGTTTGGGTGGAAGCAAGCAGGGTACGCGTGCCTTTTTCTCAATGTTCTAGACACTGGGTTATGCATATAATTGGCGGGTGTCTGCAACATGCAGACAGCGAGCTGACCCAGTTTGACCTAACTGTTAGCTTCTCCACTAGACTCTTAATATTGGATGAAATGCCCTTATAACTTAAAGTCTATGCAGATGAACTAAGTTAACTGTGCTAACCGTTTACGAATTCAACCACGTACGACACTTGGCTCGTTCTTACTAGCTAGGGATGACGAAATTGGGTTGGAATACAGGTATTACTTGTTCACAGGAAGATCTGATACGGCTTACACACCTCTTTAAAGTTCTTGCGGCCTTTACTATCCCTTCACTCGTTTACAGTAAATACATCCTTCACCAAAGTTTCACGACAAATAAATGCACTATTCCCCTCGACGTTCAGCTTTTGACTGACTTATTGGAAGTGGAAAATCGTGATTGTTGCTCGTCAAACATTTTTCTTTGCTGTACCAAGTCAAGCGGTCATAGTTTCACACTGCTGTCAATGCTTACTGTTTTTCACTACGATCTCAGCCAATTAACCTTTTGACCTACCAATTCACTGGGAGTTTGCAAGTTTGATTTTTACACCGTTGCTGCATTTTCCTTGTTTCGACGCATCGTCTCTTTTCATCTTTTGCTACGCCTTTTTCTTCTGTAACGCTATATTTATCCGCTATCTGTCATTCAGTTCCTGCAACCAGTTAGCGCTCGTGCTCCCTAATCCCTCACCAAGTTTATCTTTTGAACCCATGATTTACCTGCGTTTTTCGGTCTTAGCTAGAATATAGTGTTTACGGTATATGTGTCGCCTTCGGTGACTGTCATGTCCCATGTGCTTGACTGGGAATGTTAACGCACATCTCTCGAATACCGTTGCGGAAGGAGTGATGATCCGTGCTCCTTGTGTTGTCTAGATGTGCGACTATTATGCAGTTATTGTGAAACGGGTTTTTGGGACCTTTGTTCCTACAGAGAAATTAATCGCACCGTGTTTTCCGACATGCTCACGGATGTTAGTTGCTAGTTCTCAGCACAAAATAGCTTCCCGTAATCAATTCGAACAGGCTTTAGTTCATGCGTGCTGCAACTGATGTAGTGTCACGCCTTACACATTTTCTTGCTTTTCCTTTTAGATAAGTGTCCTCAGGAAGATAACTCCATCAACGAAGTGGACCCAGGACTTGTTTCTCAATCTGTTTTAAAGCAGTTCGACACGAATTGCTCACATCTTTGTACTGGTCTGTCTTCTTCATACGGTGTTACCTTGACACCATCCTACATGAATATCTCAGCATCGACTTTCCTTCCGACACAAAGATCCCGTAACCCGCTACTTTTGGATGAATGTACCACTTCTCTCCGTAGCCTACGCGATACGTGGGAGGAGAGGGAGGACATGATATCAACAAATGAGGAAACACAGGTAGCTCGTGTCCCCGCTGGTCTCGTAATATCAAAGCGTCCCAGTTCATTTAACACAACTGGGCATCTCTCATCCATCTGTCCAGAGCGCCCCTTCACTAACACATACACTGGTGCATCTTTCCCCATAAACTCTCCGTGTGCCCCACCTGTACAAGACAACATGAAGGATTGCGCTTCCCAGGGATCAGTGGTTAACTTTCATCGACCTTATAGATACCGTAAGCGGTGCAATCGTTCACATTTTCATATTCATGGCCAGAAAGGTCCAACCTTCTCGAACTCTATCTGCGCCACCGACCAGCAGACATCCCCCAGGGTTCATCCAGACAACTTCCCCAACGCTTTGATCCAGCACGGGGTCTTCACAGCAGATGAAGATCTCGTGGATGCAGGTCAGTTGTGCATCAAGGGCTCCGTTGCGTCTCATATTATGCACTTGTAACATTGCATATCACTCGATGATGAGTAAATAGTTACGATATTTCCTTTCCCCCTCTACTCCGAAGTTACTGTCCACCATCAACGTTCGCTTACCCGGAACGTTTTGTCACATCTTGTCCCGACGTTTACTTTTACATTGTTGTTGGTAATCATTAGTACTTTCCTTAGTATTCCTTCCTGCTAGGTTCACTGCTTAACGCGTTCTACCTGGAACTCCTTCGATGTCACATATTCTGCATATATTGTCTCTGAAGTTATTAGTGCTCCAAACTATTTTCCTTCAACATAGTTTTGTCCAAATGTTTGCCTAGCCACTAATCCTCTCCTCATCGCTCGTATCTAAGAATTACTTCACTACCATTATCGTCATACGACGCGGCCATGTGCCGTCTTTTGTTTCTCGTTATTTGCCTGGCGGACTTTGCTCCTGTCAAAACTGCACATCTTGGTTATAGTGCTCATGTGGGACACTGTTCGGCTCTATATTATGCTTTTTGCGATATATATATATATACATATATATATATATATAGCTTTTAATGACGACATCACTCTCGTCTTGCATTAGAACATCATATCTAGCCCACGGAAAATCTGTGGAAAACCATCCTTCTGTTCGCGTAGTTTTCTTTTTTTGTGATCACGTACCTTTACAAAGATTGTCTTTTCGGTCCTGAACCTCACCGTTCATCATCTTTTTTTCTATCTGTGACGTGAGACTTTTGCTTAGTCGCACTTTCCTGTTAACCGAATTGCCTAATGCATTCAGTCGGGTTGATGCTTGCTGCTTTTTTAGAAAGGATTCTCTGAGTAAGCAATAGGGATTGGACATGATGCCATCGCATTTGTACTCTCGCTTATTACTGCGTAACCACACATACACTAGCAGTCTTTGTACAACTTTCCTTTATCTTTTATTTGTCGCTCCTTTCATATTTTCTTGGACTTTTTCTGGTTTTTGCTATTCTGCTCTTTAGTACTTATTTAGAATACTCGGGTGCTCGAAGCTGCGACGTCTGTGTGCAACACAGCAGTTTTTCACACTGGCTACTGGTAACCAGTACACATCAGTTAATTACTCGCTAGCTGTACACCATAAAGGCACTTCGCTATCGCGTGACCGCCACTAGTCGTGCGCGGGCTGAGTATACCTCAATGAGGCCCACCACTAGGCGGATACCGATCTCCATTACTACAGTCCGATCCATACACCGCGTATCTGCATCCTCTTTGTAGTGTAGTCCATCGAGGGCCTAAATGTTGTAATTGCGCAACGTCTATCCTAGTGCTCGGGATCGGGTTGTGTTTGCCTATCGTACTGGTCATGCTCGTAACCCATATGTGCCAATCTTGTTCGATCTTCCTGACGTTTCTTTTTATACATGCTGATGCATTTGGGTCACTGGAAAGCTAGGTTGTCATGCGAGCCGAAAACTACTGCTGGTCCGAACCTAGTTTCTTCTCTCCTTTTACCTGCTTGCTAATCCGTGAGCATTCACTCATCTGTGTCCCTCTTATTTATTGCTACTAGTAGTTCAGTGTGGTTATAAGTTTTACCTCTGTTCACCTCGGTTGGTGCTCTTTGGCATCTTGAGAGCTGCGTCCAATTGACTGACCACATGTTATCCAGTGCACAACCTCACACTTCCAGTTGTTCAGTTTTTAATTTCAAACTTGAGTAATGGCTCATCTTGTTTGTCGTTAATAACTTTTATGCTCTCCTGTGCTAAGATTATTGTGTAGCTAGTTTTGGCTGATGATCATGATCATTGGTCTGCTTTCGTTTTCATTCACTGGCAATATCACAGCTCCTTCCATCACTATATTCAGCTTATCCGTTGATAGTGCATCGCGAGTGTTTTCATTTTGGGTGGCATTAACCAGTTGGACAGCCCATTGAAAATCTTAGCGACGTTCGCATTTTAAGTTTCTGGAGTACCCGTTGTGTTGGTGGACTGCGACATGCGATCTCGATTTGAACCACGATTTCTTTTCAAGTGAACATGTCTCGTTTGTGTCATTGGAGCATACTCTGAAGCAGTTAAACGTTTGGTGTTTGTCGCTCCCAACACCACTTCATCACAGGCTTCATGCTTGTATTCACTCTTTTAGTGGTGGCAGTCGAAGTAGAACTCTTCTACCCGGGACGCAGAAGTTATGAACAGATAATCTAGGTTCGCGGCTGACACTTCGTACAACCGTTGCTGATTAACTGCTGATCTGTTGAAGCACTATGACTGGCGTCCAACATGACGGCACAATATTGCACAAAACCGATCATGGGATGCAGTATTGGGAGCTGACAATGCCCAACATTTGTCGCTTGACGCACCTATTTTTTGACTGTTTCATCTTGCGGTGGGGGTCAAACCCTAAGGCTATCTTTACGTACGGTTTTAATTTCTATCCTTTCTTATGCTCAGACTACCGATTCGTAAACTGCTCTCTGATTCACTGTTAATCTCTATTTTCTAAGAGCCTATTATCCTTTGGTAACGCATCTAACTTGTGATTTTTGTCAATGATACCTTGCGACCCACCGAGATATCTCTGTAATTCCTAAAGGTTTTCCCGCCCTTAGTATATAAAATTGCTTTCTCACTTTATTTAGCAAGATTTTTCATTTTTCCACTTTAGAATTAATTACGAGCAACTTTCAAAACCCGCAAGTTCATCTTCGCACTACCTCGAATTTGGCTAAGAGTTCCGAAGAAGCTCAGTGTACCCAGTGCGCATCGTCCAAGTTTCGTGCGAATTGTTTCTGCGCCTGGTGCTGCCATCTCGATCAGGACCATGTCGGTCACCTGGATCATCGCGTCTATCGACACAGATATCAACAATATCGAATGTGCGTGTGTCCCTCCTATCTCTCCCGATCACTTTCGTCTAATGTACTTTCCTCACTCGGTTTTCTTCCGGCGTCCGCCTCCTACAACCCGATTCCACCCTCCACACCCAAGAGCATCGTCTGTGCCTCTCATCCGGTAGGCAACTCTGATGCCTCCTTGGTGGCACGTACTTCCGCATCGGAATTTTCCAGCTCGTCCCTCACAACTAAAACGCTTTGTAGTGATCGCTGGAAACCCATTCGCCGGTTAGTACATCCTATTTTTCCACGCTGCAGCGTCACTTTTTATATTAAACGTGTCTCAGGACCACAAACTGATTTGAACTATTTGTTTGATTCCCTTTTTTGGCTTCCGTTTGCGATCATCGTCCACAGTGATAGTATACGGACCGACCGGAATTGTTTCACACTGTCTCTTTCATGGAATTATGACACTGATTTCATTGCTCTTAGCTTCCTTCCTTCGAATCAACTTTTCTTATTCCTTTTCCCATATCTTCGGGAACATTGTTTATACTTGTTTATTATTCTTTTTATCTTTGAGACAACTTTGAGAGAGCGATTACATCAGTGTGGACTACGCTGACCGGTGTTTGTCATTCTCTGGATGTCATTGGTTAGGCATGATGTGGTCACGAAGCTAGTCGTGCTCTTGCATCCGTTTGCCAGTTTATGATTTCCATCTATTCTGTCATTTTGCTTTCTGCATTAATTTTGTTGCGCTCCTTCCATCGTTTCTCAGCGATACCGTCCATGGCCTCATTCACTTATAGTGACAAATTCATGGAAGCTCACGGGCAATTGAAGTGCTTACAACGCCGCGATGCGACAATGTTATCGTTACAACCATAGACGTGGCTTCTACTCACACGTTCCGCCTGCGTTTTTTTCGAATCTGATAATATTTATGAAACGTTTGTGTTTGGTCACCTACGTACGCAAATAATTATCATATCTAACGAGGGACATTGGATACGTGACACTGAGGTTTATCTTCTGGTTGGCAACAGATCTGGTGCCAGTCGTTTCACTGGCTTAGTTTCATGCTCTGCACACCTTCAGGGGTATTTCCAATGAATGTTGCACCCGTCTGGGCATAAATCCAAGGTGCCCAATCAATAACATGAAGGAAGAAGATGGAGAGACTCATCGAAAAGGCGGATTTGGGTAGATGTTTACCTTTCTGGATGGAGACTTCGGGATCATCCACCTAAGGTGTTGGCTGCCTTAACGAATATGGGGCTGTTTTAACCGCTCCCTCATTTCCTTACAGTTGTCTGTTCTGATCACTATTCTACTTCTTATCCAGTCGTCCAGATCATTACTATTATTATTAATATTTTGGCGACATATGTGAAAACAGTTGACTCCGCTGCATTCTCCTCCTAAAGCGTCCTCCTCGCTTCACCTTCCTTTCTTGCTTTCACCTACAGTATTTTTTCCTTTCACATATCTCAATTTAGTATTGAGATTCAGCTTATCACCATTGTCCTCTGTGTTCGATTCACTGCATGTTTTCATTGCAAATGGCATTTGTGCCAGCCGAAAATCCAGAGGTCAGATAGACCATAGTAGTTCCCTTAGAGCATCACCAACCGACTGCTAGTAGGCGGTTCCGGTCGTAAATTGTTGCACCACTGTTAGACAGTTGACCTTAGATAGCAGGAGCCATCCTGAAACCATCTCCGGGACGCGGAGAATGGTTCGCTCATTTGGCAACTTGGGCCGGATAGTTTCCGACCAATGAGCGTTGGTTCCTAAGCTGACGATGAACGACAGGCGTGATCAATCTCCAACCGCGTTGATAGTAATTGTTTATACTCCTCAGGTTACAATTCCGTTTGTAGTTAGCAGATTTCACTCGAAATCCAGCACTTGTTATGTAAACGAGCGTTTACATGGCACTTCTAAATATTCTTGTGACTGCACTGCTTCCGTTGACAGCGAACTATCCCATTCAACGGTTCTTCTTCCCTCCCTCACAAAAATGCTTGCCCGCCATTACATCTTGCTTGAGCCTGATTCAACTCTAGCTCTCACAGGCAGCATCTTCGCTCTGGATCTTTATCGTTACGTAACTGCTTATTTGGACGATTGAGTCAAACTTATTGCTTATTTGGTTTGGAAAATCGTTGATTTTACTTCTACACCACATGTGGAATTCCATATTCATTTTTATTCCACAGCCTTTTCCACCGCAAGCACTCCAAAAGCCACGACAGCTTGCATCCCCACGATCAGCCTCCACAGAGTCCGGATTTGCGTGATAAACATCCAGTCTCATGTTCGGTAACGAACGCTGGTCTCAATTTAGCCCCTTGTTCAAGCGAACTCTTACCAATAACCCGCTTTCATCCCGCCCACAAGCACTGTCTATGTGAACTTGATCGCATAGCTTGTCCAGAGCGCTGGCACACTGCAATTTCTGTGCGGGAACATCGCCTACTTGCAATTCTTTGTCCTCGCCATGGTTCACGTTCTTATTGCCCGTGGTTCCTTCAACGCCTTCTTTTTAACTTTTCCTTACTTCCCCACACTCGTCGTGAGGGACAATCATCCTCGCACATGACCATGGTCAAACTTCCACGATCGAGTGTCTGTCATCAAGTTGACACCGCCACATCCGCTGTGCCCGGACCCTCTGCGTTTTCAACCATTAGAAATGTCGTGGGTTCTAAGCAGAAAACCAAAGCCAAGTCTATATTCGGAAAGGGGAGTACGATTAAGCCGAAAACTACCGGCGTTTTCAAAGGCACTTGTCGGACGTCTATACGTGACCCCACCGTTCATCAAGCCGAGTTCGCTCAGACGCACACTACGGTGAGCTCGGTGAGTACCTGTGTCGTCAGATCAATGACAATTACACCCCTAATCCAAGTTGTTTGAGGATCATGTCACCGACCATAGTTACGATTTTGCTCACCTACAGCCTTACTTTCCAAATAAAAATTCTGATTTTATTTACTTTTAAGATTCCCATGTTAAAATGACCTCGCTTTGGCCTCCCTTCCATTAACAGTACGTACTTGACCCATGTGTCGGTCTGATTTTAGTAGCAGTGTTTGTGAGATCATAGCTACTATACGATGTGTATTTGATCGCGAGTGTCACTAAGACGAGTCGCTGTCGCTTAGACCACGAAGGCCACATTCACTGAGTACTAACGTACTAGTCTTCTAATCCTCTAGATGTCTTAAATCCGACATTTTTCTTGACCTACTAACCAGTCGGTAAAGTCTTTACTCGATTAATACGCCTTCAACCTTTTTACTGCTCTCAGTTGTTACCTTGTCGTTACTGGAACCCCTTTACGTGGTGTCTAAACCGTCAAGAGCGCCTTAAGTCAGGCTAACTTTGGTCTCATCGATGCTAACCCGCCAACCCCCACATGTGGTTGGTATTGGACGCAATTGCGTAACCTGCAACGACCGTAAAACATTTGTAAATCAGTATAAATCTTCCGACTACTTCCAAGCACACCCCGAGCTGAACTTGTTGTCCACTGCTTTGGGTTAGGCTATTGAGCTGGAGGCATGTGTTAATTAGCACTCTCTGGAGCCATGATGCTTTTCATCGCTTTTCTTTATGACCCATTGAATGCAGTTCAGAGAGTATGAAAGACGAATTCTATCATTAGCTCTCATCTCCATATGGCGAAAAATGCTGATATAGTGATTGTTGTTAGTAATTTGAATGCCTAAGTGGTCGGACTGCGCGTAACAACTGGGAGGCGGCTTCGGGGTCGGTACACGCCGTACAGACAATATATAACAATCCTTGCGATTATCTGCCGACGACGATATTTTATATTAGCAATTCTACTTCCCAGCACACGCTAACACCGTGTCACCAAATCTCTATCAAATTCCTCGAGGACCCGTATCAAAATTGTGCATATCACCACCAACTACATGTGCTGTACGTCGGTTTAACTCTGTTTGTCGATTTGGAGTATGAGCTTATATTCCTACCATTTTTAGTGTGCACACGCCTGACGCTCACTCTTCCCGCTTCGAAGAGGCACTTAACTTCTATGATTTTCACCTATAACTTGAACTCGTAGTCTGTAACTCAACAATATCGTGCCAAACTGCTATACCGAACACTGTTCATTGCACTGAAGAGATACTTTCAGGCTGGCGACTGTTAACTGTCGAGCCAATCTTCAGAAAGGGGTCAACGGCTTTATGCCAAAACCACCGAGGCATTTGCTTTTTCTCTATTGCTTAAAAACTTTTCGCCGTACCATTCTTCGACAGCTTACGCTTGCTGGGAGAACCGAATCATAGTCAGGCGGGCTTCCGCCCTGGTCGTGGTTGCATCGACCACATATTTTTTCTTCATTACGTGTTAGTGCAGAAGCACGCTTACAGACGACCGACTTTGATAGTTTTCGTTGACTAGAAAATCGCAGACTCTACTGATTGAGCCATCTTGTGTTACTGCATGTCCATTAAAGGAGTGCTTGGGAGACCTCTTTACATTCCTGATGCTGTGTAACGGTCCACGGGAAGCTATCCCTTCAGTTTCCTACTACAAGTCGAGCTCACCAGGATTGTCAACCTTGTGATCGAAATGATTATTACTGACTACCATCTTTCAGACTCTTCTGTAGCGGAAGGTCTGCTAAGTGACTTACTGAAAAGCTTTGAGTGTGCGCACGACATGGCTCTGCTTGAGTCGGACGCATTGACTGTGCAAATCCTACTGAACGGAGAGACTCGTAGCGCTGCACGCTTCGGCATATGCTTTGCACTTTCAACGTACTAATGCATGACTGAACTTATTCGCCACCGGTTTTAACTATCAGCGAGCAGCCAGTGGAATTAGTGGATCGATTCGCTAACATTGGTTGTTGTGTCACTTCTGGTGGTCACACCATTAAGAAATTTACTTTGCCGTCGGTGTATCAGGTTGGGCGAAACCGCGAGGTGGCTAATCGGTGGCGTATCATAGCGACATGGAGGAATGGATTGAGAGACTTGGTCGGGCAGGTGCGTGCCTTCTCGTATGGAAGCCCCGGGATGGTCCACAGCAGTAGTTGGGAACTATCAGATATCACCAATTCATTGGCGTTTTTGCATAATGTTTCTTTTAATTATTTCCTTATATTTTCATTCCACCGCGATTAGTACAACCCACTTCTTGGTTTCTACATTACACTACACCACAGAGCAGTAGTCCAGCGTTAGGCGCGTACATTTCTTGAACAACATGCAATGCAGTCTGAGGAACATCGCCTTTTATCTCTTAACCTTTGCGACTATACTGTTAATGCTCCTCGAAGTTCAACTGGTTCAAGCAATGTGATTCTAAATCTCAGACTTCCGTTCCATATGCAGTGTTCTAGACCGAATATTACAACAATATGTGAACGAAGGTTCCTCTATTTAACTAAAAAGCTTTTTGAGTTAGTGCATCACAATTCGCGAACGTTCGACCAAATGAGACTTCTTTCCTATAATATCAGATCAGTTTGTACGCTTCAACGCATTATTTTGGTATGCAGCATCGGACACGTACACGCGCACGTGAGCAAACATGTACGGGCGACCGTGAGCAACTACGTCAGTGAGGTACATATTTCATATACTTTGTGAATGGCAATGAGCTCAAAACACAACCTTAGGTTACGCCACTCGTTCCAGGTTTGCGACGCAGAACGAAACTTTACATCTTTACTACTTGGTTTCTGTTATTAAGGCAATATAAAAACTGTCGGATATACCCAGCAGTGCAATGTTATCTGATCTAAAGCATTTTGCATGTTGCAAAAACTAATAACATGGGTTATTTGTTGATCATTTTGTGCCAAGCCCGTCCTGTCCCGGTGGGTAAAGTGATATGGGTCCCAATGGTTCCAGGTTTTCTTTCTGTTATCTTCGCCTGATGAGATCAAACAACTTCGAAACCGGTCGTAGAGTGCAGTGTTTTCGGCCGGACGACACACAGTGTTCATCTCCACCACGGTCCGGACTCGATGTCTGTTATCTCTACTTGATGAGATCAAACAACTTCGAAACCGGTTGTGTTTAGTGCAGTGCTTTCGTGCGAGAAACGCGTAGTATTCATCTATTAATAGCATAGGTTTTCTCTTCATTGTGATGTGGTTTAAGTCGATATGGCTAGCTTAAGCAGTGCTTAGTCAAACCATGTTGCGTCGGGCTGGTGAGGTTCCATTCCTTTTCATTCTTTTCCCTGACTTTAAACAGAATGGAAGTATTACTGATAGGTTGGTAGTTTCTCTTGAACCTTCTTTGGGCTCTTTTTGCAACACTGAACTACTTCGACATACATCCATTAAGACGGAACGTACCCGGTTCTCATTGACAGAGTGCACGTGTTGTGTAGCTGGATAAAGATGTCAATGCTACCGCAGAAAGATCACCTTGAACAGTTGAGGAGCTTCTTTATTACTGTAAGATTAAAAGCTTATCCCCTAAACCTCGGTTAAATGCAATTTTCGTGGGGCAGTTTGGCGTCATTAATGCATGAACCGATGCTGTTGTATACCACCTGTTTGTGATCATTACCCGTAAAGCCAACTAAGCTGGAAAACTTCAAGCCAAAGATAAGGTCAATAATATAGCCACTCATTTCTAGAGATAGAACGCTGCAAATTTATGCAACCTGTTTGCTGACTTCTAAGACTGCCAGTTTCTTTCTGTCATTGAATTTACCTCAATCTTCTTCGCTTGCTGAGTGCCCCAAGTGCATCCGTATATACCACTATGTCGGCTAATATCGTGTTGCCACAATGTGACGGTTTGTGGACACGTCCGATGACGAAGTTGCAATTTGATTCACTGCACTTATCTAGCTTGTGTCAGCAAAGTCCCTAAACTCTGCTGCTGCCAAATCTATTGCATGGATTATATATATATATATATATATATATATATATATATATATATATATATATATATATATATATACGACTACTGTTCGTTGAACTTCTGGATCCTGAAATATGGTGTTGGAACTAATGCGTCTTTTCGTTGAGCCACAGCTCTATACTCAGAACAACCTGAGGTTTGAGCGATACAGTTTAACGGAGAGAATGCATCTTGTTGTTAGGGGAATGGGCATTATCAAGAAATTGATATTCTCGTGCAATTTGGGTTGATCTGTAATCTCTTTAAGTGTGGATAATTGAATGGTATTACACCTGGAGGAGAAAGCCACATCTGTGGAGTGTCTGCTGCAGACTCGTTGCATTCGTGTTCTGCAAACTGATTGAATAAGTTGGAAAATAAGACCCACAGTGTTCTGCTACATTTATGACTACATTGTCGGCGGTAAGTTTGAAATTGGATAACCTAAAAATTGGTGCGGTGCCTTTAGATGTGACTGTAGAATCTGATTGATCTGGTCCTGATGTAGGTGGTGTGATATGTACTGAAGGTAGCCTAAAATCGCAGTGCATCTGGTGCCATTTTTATGCCATGAAAGATTCCAAGTTTGGTCATGATATGACAACACTAAGCGGCCGTTCATCTTTGCTATGATATTAGTTCCATTAACCACTTTATCTGGTCTAGGTAGTTTTGATCAATTGTAGGGAAGACGCCGTACCTGTGTTCTGATAGGACTTATAGGCTTTGCTACCGTTAGCTTTGTGATATTTCAAGTCCGAGTTAAGTTTCTACTCGTGATGTGATTTCCCAACACGGTTTGCAAACGGTTGGAAGTATTGAGTTTCTACGCTGTGTTATCCTTAAATAAGCCTTTTTATGTTTAGTGGTTCTCAATGTCATTTAGTTTTTGAGTAATTTGCGCGTCAGTCGTGGTGGATGGCACTCCGTCTCACCCTTTTCTGTTGCCACCGACTTCTCATGACTTCGTCCTATCTTGCTTCATTTACTAGTTCTCCTTACACCCTTCACAATTCCTCGCTTCGACTTCCTTCACAGCGCTTATCTCAATTGGTTCTGTTTTGTCGACATTAACGCATGCATTTGTGTCATTAACTGTGTTGTTTCCAACTTGGTTTTCTTGAATCCATACACTTTTCATCGACATATTTTTCTCTTTCTCATGCAGGCTTTAGCAAATGACTCGTATCGGTCGACCAACATGGCGAGCAGTTTACGCACACCTGGTGTTGTTAATCGGAATCAACGATGTGCTCATTGCTTGTGCTCCTCCCATTTTCCAGACTCTGGATGCAGATCTCAATCTGCTCTGTCTCTTACTTCGCTTCCATGCTCTGAACCCGCCATTTCTCGAACTGCAAGTTCATATTTCGAGCCAATGCTTGAGTTAGGCACGAGATCCTTCTGCTCCTCTGTTTCATCCTTGTTGACTTTTCAGTCAATATCTGGATCGAGCTCTATGCTTTCTTCTTGTGCTACTGGTGAGAATCCCACTAAGCAGAGCGCTCTCGTACCTTCAACACCACGCACCGAGGCGGTGAATATGGGTACGCGACGATGTGAGGACAACCTGGAAAATGCGGGGAAACTTCCAGGTTGCGATACGCAAGAAACATTTGCATCTGCGCCTAGTTCCGATATTTTAGGTTCATCGAGCAGAAGGCAGCTAATCAACCACGGCGCACCTGAGTTAACGGAGAATTTATATATAGACTGCTCACTTTCAAAGCCTCCACCTCGGTGTGACGCGCACTACCATATTTGTCCGAAGCACCACTCTCCTTCGGGCACGTCATTTGTGCGTCGAGTTTCTACTACCGATCCGTCCTCATCCAGTGTAGACTCACCACGAGTTACTATTCACAATCCTCCATCTGTACTCAAAGATTCCTCCAATCCAGCACGCACTCATTCCAAGGTACCTACGAACGAAACACCTGATTCTCCCCGTTGCTGTCATTCACGTGTGCATGCTTTTCATCGGTCCTATCAACTTTCTTCCAACTCGCAGCGGGCCCATACTCTACCAAACACCAATGTCTTCCGGAGCGAGTCATTGCATCTCATGGTCCCATCATGCTGTGAACACGCTATGGTGAATGGGAACACAGTCTATCATGCGAAAATTCCTCATGGTGATGCATCTAAAACGTGCAGACAGCATGGAACCACAACATTCAATCGGCTACTACCGCGTTTTCAGCGCAAAGCCCGGGGAAGCAATCCGAGGCACAACACATCCATCGGGGTTCGCATGTCTCCAACACGGTCCCAGTTAGATAGAAAACTCTCGTGCCAGTCCACGTGTAGCACTATTTCTAGCTCCCTGGAAAACGAAGATAATGCCTTGCTACTAGATGATGATCTCCCACGTGAACTAGAAAACGTGAGTTCTCAACTATACTTTCTCGATTTAATTCTGTTGCACCAAATAGGTTATCCGTGGAAAATGTGGTGCCATCTCATTACTACATCCTTTTTTTCCAATTCTGTCGTTTGTGCTTACGTGTGGCTTTGGTGGGCATCATACCAGACCAGCCTACTGGACTCCGGTACTCGTCATCTTGTGACATCTACTTAGATAATAGCAGTTCTGCGGCCTCATTAAATTACAAACTTCGCGGCTGCAGACGCTCATTCCGGTGTGCTGCTCATGAACACACCCGTTTTACTTTTACTGCTTTCTCGCAAAACATCGTCACTTGTATGCCTGTATCCCCCCTCTGGGTTCCGCTTCCAATTATTCCCCATTCATTTTAAGCAGAACGCAAATTCTGACATCCCCAGCTAAATCAACTCGGGAACTGGGTCGTTTTCCATCCTTCGCTTTTTGTGCCACATTGTTGAACAGGTGACTCCCACTTATGAATTCGCCCTTCCATTTACTTTCGTAAAAGTTGGTTACATCGCCGTTGTAGGATGATGAAAGTTGATTCACTATTTTCAATGGCTTATTTTTAACGCCCCCACAAAAGGAAGCTAATCTGCCCACACAACACCGGCTCGAAGAATTAGACGTAACCATAGGAAGAGTTCATGTAGTATGCTTTAAAAGTAGGGATATCACTAAGCCGGCCACTATGTCACGTACGTGATGCGTTGATTCATGGATGGACTGTCGGTTCCGGTTCAATTTGAGATTGGTGATCCTCTTGGCTAGCTAGGCGTAGAGTTAGAGACCGGTAATTTATTTAGCGGAAGAGTGTAAAAGTATGTTTTTTGTTCAATTGGAGGTGCACATATGTATGTACGAGGTATTGTAAATATATGACAAGTGAAGTCGTGAAGAATGATGTTCCTTTGTATCGGCTCTCAGTGACATGGCTTTCTCACTTCACGTCTCCGGTAATGCCGAGTCGATGACTCGCGACGTTGGATCCGCCGTCAGCTGACTTGCGAAGGTATTTCTTCCCGAATGATATTCGGTAACCAACCACGTATTCTTTGCTGAATGCTATATTTGTATGTTTTCGAGGTCTGCGGTTGTCGTCCTGAGCTTCAACCGTGTGCCAGTCACAACTTGTATATCGGTGACATACTTTTACGGTACGACCGTTGGCATCGAGCTCCATGACTCACAATAGACAACCAGCTGTCTTAAACTCACATTAACCACATCATTACTAGTTGCAGGGGCTCTCACCTTTAGAGTAAAGTCACCCTGGAGTATTGCTCTATCTATGAACATGTCTTACTGCTCACCCATCGCGGCAAGCCGCACTCAGTGTGTCGCAGTGGCTTTCGTGCTCATAAGGCCTACCTGATTATTCTGGGTGACGCATCACATGTAACTTTTTCCAAAGCTCCACCGGCATTTGACTCTGAATCTATATCATTTGCCCTTATCTAAAACACAACTGTTCAACTTCATACAGATCTAAATGGGACTCTGCGATCTTTCTCTCAGTAAGCTGAGCCTGTCTTACACACAATTACGAACCATCGGTTCTAGCTATAACCGAACAGCCACCGGAAGTGGTGAATCGGTTCATTTTCCTTGGTAGCTGTATCACCTCTGGTGATCACATCAATGAGGAGGTTACTTCATGTATTAGCAAGGCCCGTGTGGCTTACCCGATGTTCAACCATTTGTGGAAACGGCTGGATATCAGTCTGACAGTGAAAGGTTGGGTGTTTAATCATGTGGTAAGGCCGGTGTTACTGTTTGGATAAGAGACGGCCAATTCGCGGCGAAGACATGAAACGCTTGACCGTTTTTGACTACCGGTGCTTGCGGAGTATCGCTCACTTCTGGTGGGAACACCAGGTCACTAGGCGATATGAGTCGGGGCAACAGGATCAATCACATCTCGGTGCTCGGATCATAATTGTTCAATGGTATTGAACTAATACATTCCTTTTAAAGTGGGTGTTTTTCACACCAAACTGTAGGGTGAGTATCGAGATATCCGTAGCATAGGTCTGTCAGATTGTGATCGCCGTAACATTGTCGATGCGGTCTGGCTCGTTTTAGCACGTTGGGCGTTATCTATATCCTCCTAAGGGCGTTGAAGACAGTAGATACGGATAGATGGCTCCCGTTCTCCCTCAGCCGCTGCTGCAGCTGCATCAAAGTGTCCTCGCAATGCCGTTTAACGATCTATTCAACGCGCCACAATTCATCAGAAGTCAGCTTCTCTCTGTTGTTTCCTCCTCATTTTCGCTGAGTGTTGATGCCTTCTCGCCTGTAGACATTGATGGTGTTTCTTACCGTGCTGTCATTGACATCGGCGACTTCAGTAGCTTTGTGGGTGCTTTTCCCGTCGACGACCACAGACTTGTTGAGGATCACTTTCTGTGTAGACGATGTTCACTTGTGCCGCCGCAGCCTCTGAGATGCACTCCTTCGTTGTCCGTCGCTCATTTTTGTCGTTTTGTGCAGCACAAAGCTACTAAGGCCATGCCGTATTTATTGAAGTCGTGATAGTCCACACTGTTCCATTTGTTTTGCAGCTGAATAGGTGGTTCGCCCACACGAAATACGCGAGGACCCGTAGAGGGACAGGGGACAACTTGGTCATTGCCTATCTGCTTCATCATTTGCAGCGCAAGTGGTGGAATCAGCCTAGGTTTACTTCACTGGGAATCGTGGTCGACGTTGAAATTGTGCATCGCCACCCATTCACAAAACGAGTGCTTCACAATGACCCTCCAAAGTTAGGTAACATATATTTATGTCATAATAGACTAGTCGATTCGGCAGTCCGACTTTGCAATAGTCGCATAGCCATACAGGTTCATGCGTAAACGCGCGGACACATAAACTACGCGAATGCCGACGGGGAGAGGGGGGAAAACTTTCACCGCCGTCGATCCAGGTGATCGAAGATCGCGACCAAGAGAAGGGTTTGCAATGACATCTGCTGCTTATAGGATTTGCTTGCATTAGCATAACTGCAATGTGATCTGGACATCGTCTAGTCGCCTTACTCCTCATTTATCCCCAACAAATTGCTACTTCTCTGCTTAGAATTCAATGTGGTTAGCAAAACGTCTAGTTTAAAGTGGAAATGGTATATAAATATGCATTTTCCAGGTCGAGCTTTGAGAAACGTGTGTCCCCATTGACCATTGTGATGGCTATACTGGAACCGGCAGTGTGTAGCAGTTCGGCCCCATTGCAGTTGGTTCCATACAGCTTAGGGTTGCCCCGGCAGAATAGGGCACAAGTGCCGGTGTTTGGCATTTCGTCAGACACTGTCAGTAACACAACTTTCTAGCACAATCGCTCACCTTGATCTACCTGGCTTCCAACGAACGACAGAATGTTTGAGCCTAAGTTTGTTACCTCACCATGATCAGCAGTTGGCGCTGGATTGTTGGTCGATTTGGACACGGCATCATGCACGGCCTCGCAATGTTCGCTCTTTTGATTCACGCACAGTGCTGTGTCTCCAATGTTCGTGATCATTAGCTGTAGCTACAATCCGCAAAGAAACGATCTCATTCTTAATTTCAAGCGCGATTGTTACTAATGATTTAAATGCGGAGCCAGGTATCCACTACAATTCCCTCCTGCGCGTTACGCAGATTCCATCCTGTGCAACACATCATTTCACCATAATACGCACTGATTATATTTCAGTCACTGATCTCGTAATATGGAAGGTGGTTTCTTTTTGGAGTCATTTCCAGTGTGTTCACATCCCTCCAGAACGGCTTCCAAACACTAAACCTAGGGTTGACCAGTATGGCTTGCGAGTAGCGAATGCTTGTTGGGAGATCATTGTCAACCGACCGAATGCTTTCAGGCCATCATTTTCCTCCAGGATCTTTAACAGCTAGAATAACTACAATTTCATGTGGCCGTTTGTGTGTGTGTGTGTGTGTATGCTCAATCAACCGCTTACTTGTGTACAGTTGTAGAGTTAAGTGAATTCCAGTGACCATGGATGGATATGGGTAATCAGTTTGAACCTGTGGCGATCGGGATCATCTTTTCCAGTGGCCGGACCCGCGCCTTGCATAGGTTGGACTTCAGCTACTAGATGGCGGCAGTGTCGATAAACTGGAGCATGGTTGGATTATCTTGTCTGTTGACGACCTTTAGAGGTTTACGAGTGTTCTCGAACACAAGGCAATAAAATTGATGCCGTACAATCGAAGTGGAGGACCACAGATCGCTGGGCTACATGGTGTGGAGATGACTCTTTGTTGACTGCATTTGCTTACACTGAAAAGGTGCCTTCAGACTGCCGACTGTCAACTTTCGGGCGGTTTGTACGAAAACCGCTGAAGCATTTGGCTTCTCTCTATTGCTTTCAAAGTTCCCGCTGATACCATTCTTCGGCAGCTTACGGTCCCTGTAAGAACCGAATCATTGTGGTCCAGGCTGGTTTCCGCCCTGGTCGTGCTTACCTCGACCACATCTTTAGTCTTCACTAAGTGTTAGTGCAGAGACACTTAGAGACGACCGACTTTGCTGATTTTGCTTGACTTGAAAGTCGCCTTCGATTCTGCTGATTGAACCAGCTTATGACACTCTCTGTCGAGTAAAAGAGTGCATGGGAAACTCTTTTCCATTCTGAAGCCCTTCTGCCATGAGTCCCGAGACCGTGTAACGGTCCACAGGAAGCTATCCCCTGAGTTCCCCACTGTAAGTAGGCTCGTCAGGGCTGTCAACTTTGTAAACGAAATGGCCATTATTGACTTCGATCTTTTAGGCTCTTATGTAGCGAAAGTTCTGCTAGGTGACCCACTGAAAAACATTGCTTATACGGACGATATGGCTCTCATTGAGTCTGACGCAATGGCTGTGCAAGTGCTACTGAACGGACTGACTCGTAGCGCTGCATGCTCCGGTATGTGCTTTGCATTTTCAAAATACTAACACATGACAACTTATTCACCATCGGTTTTAGCTGTCAGCGAACATCCAGTGAAATTGGTGAATCGATTCACTTGCATTGGTAGTTGTGTCACTTCTGGTGGTCACATCACTGAGGAAGTTACTTTGCGTATCAGCAAGGCCCGTGTGACTTTTCAGGGGATCAGACATCTATGGAGATCGTGGGGTCTCAGTGTGTCAGTGAAAGTATCGTCTGTAACGCTGCGTTAAAACCGGAGTTAATGTATGGATCAGTGACCTGACCGGTTCGCAGTAAACATATCAAACGCTTGTCCAAATTTGAACCCTGAAGCTTGCGTACTGTTACTCACTTGTTACTCTGACACTGGGTGAGCAGTGCTGTAGCCCGCCAGTTGATTTTTGCCAAGTGGACTTTCAGCAGCCCTTACTCGAGTAGACGTATTTCGATGTTGCTCCTCCCAACACTGACACCCCATGGCCGGTTTCGCCCTCGCTTGGACTCATCCGATGGCGATAGTCTGAGCTGGGATGGAACTCGGGTCCTAGTGGTTCACGGCTGACGCCTTGATCACTATGCCACTAAGATCCGTGAGCAACGCTTGGCACAGCGGTAAGGAATGCAAAGTTGGATTTGGAGTACCCTCCGTGTGTTGGATTGCGACATGCAATCTCTATGGAGACTTCGGTTCACTTTAGAGTAGACCTCGGTCATTCGAATCACAAGGACCGTATCCGTAATGGAGGTGTTTCGGTGTTGCGCCTCCCAACACTGACACCCTATGGCCGGTTTCGTTCTAGTTTGGATTCATCAGATGGAGATAGGCTGAGCTGCGGCGGAACTCGGGACGCGCAACACCGAAACACTATTTCAGTTACGGTCCTTGTGATCGAAATAATCGAGGTTTAATCCATAGTGAACCGTGGCCTCAATAAGTGTTGGGTGTCACAATCCAACCACACTGCGGGTACTCCTGACCCTTACTTGACTGCTGAATCTTAATCGCTCACATTGACTAGGTCTTGTCTTCTATATGCCCATTGATCGCCTCCCGTGGTGTTCAGTATACACCATCGCTACACCCATTTGGTGATTATCAGATATCACACGGTCATTAGTGTTTTGTATTCAGTTTAATGCATCTAGCTGTTAATTTTCATTCCATCCCGATTAGTTTGACGCACTTCTGTTTTGATTCCCTTTTCTTACCGTTTTTATTTGTTGCAATCCTGGTGATGCGAGGCGTTGCGACTGGATCTATGGCGCTTCGGTACCCGGAGCATCTTGGTTTAATTGCACTGAACTCTGCAGCAGCATTGACGAGTACACGCACCAGTTATTATCATCAAATAGGACGTACCACTCATCCTTGACAACTTTTCCCCATCGTTACTACAAATGGCTCGACTCACTCTGGAGTCTTTTTCAACGCTAGTTACCGCTTCATTTTTGAAGCCAGCGAATGTCTTGTGGCATTAATCAGGCAATCGTCTTCAAATAACCCAGATGCATCCCACTCTGTGGTTTACTGATTCTCGTGATGGCAGCTACTCCATCGATTACGCTCTCTCGCTTCACGATCACTTGAATTGCGTACCGGTTGCTAATATTGCAGTAGTTTACACTGAATACTGACCATGGTATATCTGGCACGGCAAGAATCGAACGCTAACAATTCCCTCCACGTTTAGTCGAAAACCTCAATGACGGTCATTTGTCAACAGCTTGATTGTACCTAATGTTCTCATGTGATATTGTGATTAATGCGCCTTGCGTTAGTACATGACTTACAGATGAGCGATTTCATGGTCAGCAGGGAAACGCTGTCTTTGTGGAGCATTCGCGAATTATGCGTCCAAAAATGTCCTGAATTGGGACATTTTCTGCCTCAGCTATTTGCTCTAATGGGCTCTTTCGAATATTTGTCGCCAACCGCTCGAGGCACAGAATGGGCGACTCGCTTCAGCTCCGATACGACAAGTTTTATCGATGTCTGTGTGTGCTGCTTGGTGCATGTGAATTGAGCGGCGCTCTGTGCGTGGGGAAATCACTGAGGTGCGTTTGGGTGCCCAAAGCACGTGCAATCCGCTAAGTGTGACGTGTTCATGTTGTCCACAAATTTCGCATCACATTGTTAGGTTGTGTCCAGGTCCTCGACGCAAGGTTGGGTATGTAGCAGTTAGTCGTCACTACTCTTCCCCAGGCTCTTGAGTATGACTTGGTTGGTCGGGACTCGGACTTCTGCGAACGACGTGGAAAGACGGACTAGGTTCTTTGTTGAGGTCTACCGCAGTCGCCGCTCGTACTAATCACTCCACATTTGCAGCTTGTCTGCAAACAAAGCACATAGCGACCGGAGAATCTGAAGTAGATCGTTAATGTGGGTCCCACTACTTGAAATGTGTTTTTTGCGTACTTGATCTCACCGGTTTGTTGATTGCCTTAGGACTAAGTGCCTCAGGATCATTTCTTACCCTACAATCATCGGGCTGCGACTCCCGGGGCCCTGCATATTCGGGTGATCCTCTTCACTCATCCCTCACTTTTCCAACCGAAATGCTCATAACTGCTTCTACTTAACTTCTGCATTGTATGTCATACCGAGTGGCCGATTAACATGGCTTTTAGTAAGCTGACCCCTAGGTCGATCCATTGCTTGCTATCACTGGACACACAATAAATGGTTCGGATCGCCTTGCTCATCAAGATAGTTGTATCGCAATTTGTGTGCCCATAAAGAGGCTCGTCACATTCGATCATCGCTGCCTTCGCAGCTTAGCTCATGTCTGGTGGGAGCGCGTGAGCAATGAGCGTGTTCGACGTCGCGTAGTTGGCGCAGGAAGAGCGAGGGAACCGCTCAGTAACACTATATCACGCAGCAGACTTCGATGGCTGGACCACGTGTTGCACATGCCAGCACACCGACTCCCGCGACGTGCGTTTGCGCGCCGGGGGTGCGGTTGGAAGAGAAGGAGGGGACGCCAAGCGATGATTTGGTCGAGAGGAATGAAAACCCTCACTTCGAAGTTGGCGTCGTTTGGTGCATCCCGACTGCTTGGCTGGGGTCCTAAGGACGACGAACACGGTTTGTTGAACACACCGATATGGCGAAGAGCCGGCCCCAATGGCGTTTGTGTTGTGAGTTTCTTTGTCCATCCCCTTCCCCTTAGGTTCCCTCTCCAATCCCAATCTCATGTAAAACGCAAAAGATAATATTTGACATCATATTTTTGTTGTGTAATTTGTAGTGTACATTTTTAGTCACTTTATGTATTGCGGTACATTAGCTGAGGTGTTTCTCACCATCAGCTAGCATGTACGGATGATGTTGATGATGATGACGATGAGGACGAGGATGAGGATGATGATGACCTGAGGTGGTGCCCACATGCATTGCTGCGGTTTGTTGTCCTTTTAGTAAACCTCTGTCGCTTGTGAAAGTGGGGTGCTCTAATCAAATTTGGTCTCTTGTGCAGCGCTGCAGTTGTTCCAACGCTGTTGCTTGGGTAACGCACATTCTTGCTGAGGGGTGACGACATAGATTTGCTAGTCTCGATAGACCGTCTGCGCTTGCAAAATATTACTCACGTCTGGTTACAATACCACTGAAGTCCGTCTTTCGGGTTATGACAGCACAGTTATTGAACTTCAGTCGTCTACTTTGTTTACACTAAGCCCCTTTCTCTTAATCGGCCCGTGTTTACTAATACTAACTTCATCTGATGATCCTTCAGAGGACCACTTGGCAGCTTGCACACAGCATGAACATACCGGTTCGCGTAGGAGAGTACTTTCCTCTTGGGCGCATTCCTTGATGTCAAATACAACGGTAGAAAAAAGACATCAGCAGTACGCCGGGATGCAGTATCGACGCTTCGCTGTTGCGTGACCACCACCAGTCGCGCGTGCGCTAGGGATACTGCGAAGGTCGTTAGATCTCCTACACAGACTCGAACCCACGGCCTCGGATTAATAGGCAGGGCTTTGATCCTTAAGGCCACGGACCACGGTGGGCAGAAATCCTACCAGATACAGCACCGGTATGATCTTTACTATCATAATTCCTTCAATTGCTTCATTTTCGACTCGAGATACACGTGTTAAGTCAACTGCACCCAACGCTCTTCTATACTCCAGTCATCACCATCATCGACTGAGCTGAGCTCAGCCACTTGAGAACTTTTTTTCTGATTGTGCTTCCTTTCTTCCTGACCTTCGCCCTCTTCATGATTTTTACCGACCGTGTTCCGTTTCCTGATGCTTTAACGGCACAAATGTTTCCCGTTAACCTTTGGCTACTGGTTACTGATATTTTCTGGGAAGTACTTTTTTCAAACTGCTTTACAAGTACTCTCTCCTTGGATTGTAAACCTTCTGTTGACACACCAGTTTTGTCTGCTCTCACTGCTGTGCTGTACCACTGGTTCTATCCTCACTGGCGCTCTTTTCTCCCAAAGTCGCAATGCAGTCCATTCGCTCCAAATGTTACTCACGACCACTCTAATTGCCTACCTGAATTACTTCCGTAACCCCTGTGCCGTCGTGGGACATGTTCATTTTGATTTATCGTTCTCCATTCACACTTTTGTTATAGCACTTCTGAATACCTTACGTTTTTTTAGCCACCATCCTGTTAACAGTATATTTCCGCCATTTGTCCTTCTCACTCATAGTCTTCCTTTCAAATGTTTTTGTTTCTCTAACGCAGTTTAACTATTGCAATGTCTTGGCCTCCCAAAGCAGTACTGTGGCAAATCTTTCGAGCTGGGATTATCAGCAGACAAAAAAATACGAACAACAAACTCTCATCACCGCCCACCCTTCAGCAAATAACGCAACTGTGGGAAAAGTTGACTTAAGTCAGAGCATCTACGTCAACTTACCACTCTCTAGTACTGATTCAGTGGGTCATTATAGCTCGTATGGCTCTCGTTCGGGTCGATTGCTACAACACGTGCTCAATGCTGTCCATCATCATTCGGCGACCTCACACACGGCATCCAGTCCGAATTCCAAGGTGATCGCCCTTCAAATTCCAGGTAGCTCTTCTCTCGTGGGTGTCTTGGAATCGCATCCGCACAACCAATCATTATCCAGAGCTGGGCCCAGCTGTAAACAACCCGGCCAAACAATCTGCACCCATGTGCCACCAAACTCGAAGCTTTATTCATTTTGTTCTCAGAATCCCGATGCAACTTGTTCAGCGTCCTCACATCTGTCTTCCAATGTCGGAATGTCAATGAACTTCGATTTCTCGGAAATACCTGCTGAGGTTCGTACTGTCTTTGTACATCATTTCGAAATCATTTGCCTCTAGCTAACGAGTTATTTTTCTTTGGAATCCTCAATCTACCTGTTGTTAAAGGAAGTGATAAGGGAAATCTTGATAGGTTTAGTTATGGCTCAAGGTGTGCGATACTTCTAGAACACGGAACTCCGCACAAATGCTATACAGTCTCTTTAATCCCGGATTTCATTCGTACTGAGCTTGATCTACATTCATTACTGACACTTTTAAGTTAGGACCCATGTTCCCTGTGATGTGCTCTTTCCACCGCGATTCACGAATTTCTGGTATGCACCCCTCTTCTATTCTCTTTCAGTTTTATTGATTTTGTACACCGCTTTAGACTTTGAATTTGGTCGTTCTGTGCTTCATAGTTGCAACACGTTTTTGTTGTAGGTGCGGGATCCAAGTCGTAATTACGCCATGGTGGATCTCCGGCCAAGTCCCGCCAGCTCTATATGCGCAAATACGGAATTGGCTATTAGCGTTGCTCAGAACCGTCAATCTAATCCTGCAGACGGAATTACCTCGGCGGATTCTTCTACTGGCAGCACTATTGGCTTTTCGAACAGCACTAGCACAGGGAGTGATTGTGCTAGTGATGCAGCCACATTGACCTCGGACATCGTGGGAAGCTGCGTCCCCGTTTCTTCGTCCTCAGAACAACCTGTGCATCGCGGTTCGTCTACTTTGTTCACACAAGCGGCCACTTCACTGGAGACTACCCGTCGTCGACACAGTCACAGCCTTTCTTTGGCCACTACTGATGCTCCCATTCTTAACTACGTCCACGTGATTGCCTCCGCTGCACCGTTGGCCACTTCACATTCAACACGACGCGATGACGAGAGCGCTGTTTCTGATCCGATCGGTTGTGCACTACCGGAACATCATGCTGACTCGCTGAGTTCGAGCAGCGGTTTGGGTGGTGTCGCTTCACAATCGATCACTCCCCCTTTGGCAGCCACCAGTAGCACCTCTTTTGGTGATGTGTCTACTAGTCGCTCGATGACTTCGTCGGCAACCTCTGGCGAAGGTAATTCAGTCGATTTTGGCTTCCACAGCTACTCTCCTCCTGAACACGAAAACGTCGCTTACACGCAGATTGACTTTGCGCGTACCATGGCTTTGGGTGAAGTTCGGGGGGACATGGAACATCAAGAGCACGCGGTGAGTGGGAAAACATGCATTTCCACCCTATCTGGCACTCCAGCTGCGCCTGCAAAAATGGACCGTTCCATCTCCATGCGCAAGACGCTCTCTCGACCCATACGTTCTATCAAACGCGGACACCAAAAGAAGTCCAGTAGTTTTCTGAGTTGATTTCTTTCGTTCCTCTCAATTCCCGCGCACACCTGTCTCAACTATCCCTTTGCGGGGCTAGCTTAAATTTTTCCTACTACGCCTTGTCTACCAACTTGGCAGCTCAACTGGCTGCTACCCTTTCAGATCACATTTATACCTCATACCTGACGATCTTTCACTTCTCAACGGATGCACAGTATTGGTTCACTTTTCATTTATTTTCTAACTTCGGATAATGTTTGGTATTCTTTACATACAGTGTATACGTATTTGATGTTTGGCAGCTTCTGCCTAATCTATCCTCATTGTTCCTTCTTACACACCTCTACCCTTATGGACAGTCTTCATAATGTCCATTCAGTTTATCAATGTGCAGTTTGCTCTGTTTCATCTTTCAGTCTCTGATTTCTATCCTCTTTGTACAAACTGCGGATAATGCGCTCTTGCTTTCAGATCTCTCCGTAATGTCGCGAGGTTGAAGGCCCGGCGCTGTGGTCTCTTACGGTCTCATCCCACTCTGCTTTTATTGGTCGCACTTTCGCGTTTATCATCGCGGCCCTGTGAATTCACTCTCTTCACGCGCTTATCTTTTTGCATATTATCTTATCATGTGTAAAGTTTTATACTTTGTTTCTCGTCAGACATAGCTGACATGTCACACACAAGTTCATCTCATTCTCTCAGTAAGTTCTTTTGATTTATTGTTGTTTCCGTCTTTTGTTAATTCTTCTAGTTACCTTGCGTTTTCCTGTTTATGCTTTTACTCAGTCGATTGTTCTCTTTGTGTGTTTTTGCTACGTTTTGTAACTTGCCCCACTCTTACTTGACACATATTCGTAGACTAACTAATCATCTGATTCCTGCTCCAGACACAACACTACTACCTCTGCTTAACTACGTGTTCGTGTGTTAATAGGCTGAAGCGAATTTCTTCCCTTTCTCCTTTTTTCACATTGATTCTGATTCCCACCATGCCAGTGTACATAGTGACAGTGCATGGAGGGGTATTTAAAAATTTGTGTGGCAGATCTCAGTTTTGTTTTCTGGGAACGATAATACACTTACACATCTTTACCGTTTCTCATTTGCTTAGGCAGCTATTCAGCCAATGGTGTTACGCTAGGGTTTCTACGCTAAAATGCTATAAATTCTTATGCATTGACTCTTACTGTCATAATAGTAACTGACCAAATCGATAGGAATCGGGAATAGACCTCAACAAACTCGGGGTCTAAAAGAACTACTGTTGTCAAAAGAATAAGTTATCAGCTTCAAATGCTAGTGCGAATACATTACACCGCCATCTTCGCGGCTGAATCATGCCCAGTGATGTGATTTCTTTCGGTGCTCAATCTGGTATCTGCTGATCTTGGAACCCAAATTTTCCTTCATATATCTGGTGAATCCTATAAGCTGCTGGCGTTGGAATCACATTGAGTCACTAAGCTTGAGGCCACACTGCTGGATTGCTCCCCAATTTACAGTTGAATGTGTGCGACTTCAAGACCTATGAGGGATCAACAGGCATCATCGATAGAGATACAGCCTGTTTGTAATTCAGGCCTACACTCCAACCGACTGCTTATAGGCATCAATTAGCCATAACTTTCGTCGCGGTCTCCGCCAGTTTTTGTTCTGATTATAGCATCCAGTGCACGAGTTGATCGCCTGTTGCAATGCGAACGCCATCTTTTTGACCGTTACATTTTTAGTGCCGCTCGCTCTGATGACCGAGATAAAATTCTGAATTAATGTGAAGATATCCGCTTCCGTTTCTCAAGCATTGATTTCAAACTCTTGGAAGACGTTCCGCCACGCAGGCGTTATCGCAAATCGATTACAGCTGGCGATACAGCATGCAGGACCGGCTTGTTCCACCTATGTCGGTCCAGATCGATCTCTGGTCTTTGAAAATACTGATATACGCTCCAGCGGTTACTCGGAACTAAACTACAGCATACTGGATACTAACTAGCTAAACAACATGTCCATTCAATTAAATTATTAGTACTCTTGATCATATGCGCTCACCAGTGTTCCTCCTCAAGCTGCCGAGCATCGTTGAAATTCCTTACAGGAAACGGTCTCTAATCATTCAGTGTAATCACTTATTGCCCACCAAGAAGCTTGACATTTGCTCGTTCGTAGGAATTTTTTGCTCGTTGTATAGCTATTCCACTTGGTTCAGCTAGTAGTGGATTAAGCCACAACGTCAGCCAGCAACTCAATCAATGCTCGCGTAACTTGTGGATTTCATCGGGCGTGAAGTACAGGTTCCATCCTCATGGTGTACACTGATTATACTATGTAATACAGCTCTTGTTCCTGGTTTCTAAGTGTTGTATTTCAGCTGCTCGTGTTTGAAACATAGACAAAAGCACTTGTATTCATCACAGACTCTACTGTGTTATGACCACAGCCTACAAAGTAAGCAAATTTTTCTATTGAATTTTCATTCCAGCTGTCAATAAAATAACAGTGCATGTACTAGCATATATATATATATATATATACATATATATACAAAGAGGCAAAATAACAGAACAATATTCAGAAATGAATAGCTTTCCTGAGTTTGTAGATGTAATATAAATCGTTTTCTTTAGGAAGACACCCAAACCTAGTATCCGTTATGTTTTCGTTATACTTCCCTTGACAACGAAGATCAACTTTCAGTTAATCCAGGTGGAAGCGCTCGTCTTGCTCCTCTACTTATACTCTCATGTTCTTGCAGCAATGGTGGTGAGTATCAAGAATATGGGCATTGAGGGACATCCTGTACCGCGTTTTAACATAGTTCTCTGTGAGAGTATTGATTAGTTACTCATAGTTTTCAGCCTCTTGATTGTTAAGGAAACCGCGAACCACTGCAACGAGACTGTTATAGGCGACTTTCTCCGTCCTGTGCTGTTTTTTTTCCAAATTCAGCACATTCTGTAAGCTTTGTCTGTAGTCCTATGAAGGTACTTGGGATTTGCCTACTCCCTGTCTAGAGCCCCGACAAATTCTTTGATGTGCCCTGGTAGCATCAGAATCCTCTGGGAGTCTACCAGCGACTACCATTTGACGTTGTTATTCCTCGCTGAGAATTCTGTTCACCGTGGCTAATCCCTCCGTTGATAGTGTGCTTTAGTAACCAGGCTCTACTCCATAGGAAAACTTGACTAACCCATTTTGGAGTCCCATAAAGTGACCCCGTTTTGAAGTCTCCAATGACCTCTTAGCCATAGTCGTCATACTTCAAAGCACTCAGAGACATTTTAACACTTATCTTCCTCTAGCATATGCACAGAATGAGCCATAAAGTAGATGGCTATTTGTTCCCGTTGTGAAGCAACAACTTTGGGGCTCCTTGATGGACTGTCGATAAAAAGGCGCCATTAACTTGGGTTACAGGTGATTGCCGTAGCATGGCACAGACCAGCAGCATTGTTGCAGATGCACAGCTCACCTCGCTTGGCACAAAAGTTGGAAAAACGTTGTTGATATCTCTGGTCCGTGATTTCCACATTTTTCTCCAACAAGTTCGACTCCTTGTGTCTAGATGTCGGAAGCTCGTGCACTAGACCTGGTCGGACTAAGCTTTCTTATCAGATCGTTTTGATTGTGAAAATTTGGTTATCTCTCCTCAGCTGCAGTTGCGAAATTGTCATCTTGGTCTGCAATATCTTGCTCTCTGTCGGACTTGATGCTTCCTCTTGAAGATAGCAGTGCCCTCTGGTGGAGGAGTGGGAGGGATCAGTGCAGTGTGGTACTGGAGCAATGGATGAAGGATATCTGCTTAAATTATAAGAGGGGCGCTCTTGCCAGTTCGACGTTTGGAAACGTCCACCATGCAGTGGTTACAACGGCTCAACTAGTCTGTTGTTTCCCTCAATATTCTGGACACAGCAACTGTGCGGCTCTCTTTTATCTACCAATCTGTAAGCACAATAAAAATAGGTGCGAGATGTTAACATAGTGTATCACATAGATAATGTATTCCTCTGGTTCCTTAAAATCACTGACAATTTGCTGACCTTAAACACTTTTCAACCGTAATGCATAATGTATTGTACTAAATAAGACGCTGCCAACTATACGAGCAGCAATTTCCCCACTTCAAGAGTTTTCTTTCGATGTGAAATGTGCGAATGATTTCCCTTGATCACTGACAGGAATTCCAAAGTGTGCTTGATTGGCCTCGCACATTTGTGGAGATGTTTCCACGAGGTACATTTTACCCTCGTCCTAATAAAATGTCCACAGATGTAACAATACCTCTGCTTTATACAAACAACCGATAATTGTCATTCCTATCTTCAGAGTTTTCGTACCACACCAGTGACGGTTACCTCCAAGCTGTTAGTATTTATTCTATTCTCCAGGCTAACTCGACTCGAGAACTACACTCCCCTGATGAACAGGCTGATTCCCGCCCCAGCCGAGAGTATGTGAATCACATGTTCACCTTTCGTTGACTCCTACAGTATCTTCATCTTTACCGCCTTTCTAGATACTCGGTTGATCGGTTTGCATTAGAGTATTGCCTTCAAAGAATTGGGTACGCAGACGTATACTGCCGTCCTCGCATCATACTTCAGTGTCACAGATAGAAGTGGGCTTGCGTCAAGTTCTGTCATAAATAAATAGTCTATTTCTCGTATGTTCGAGACAGTCCGTTGTTCTTCCGATCAAATCGTGCAAATGGATCGCAAACTGTTTAATTATTCAAATGGACAAATTACATGTGCTCTTAAGTTGGCTAGGCACGCGTCGTTTATCATGGTCAGTCAGTCCCACGAAAAGCATTGTATCAATCGCTTATTGGTTAGTTCTCAAAGATACTGCAAATTAGCAGTTTTGTGTTTCAGTGTTCTGGTATACATTGCAGCGGAGTGACAAGTAGCTGAATGAAGAGCGAACTACTGCAAAGGAGAGCAGTTTGAGGCAGAAGGATTGGTGTGTTTCTCTATGTAGAAGGATCAGTGCTCCAGCATTTCTTGTATAGACTCAAGACGCCAACCAGCCAGACGTATTCAAGGACTTTTCCACAGTAATTGAGCGAGTCTCAGGGGAAGAAACGGGTTAGGGTTATAAAACAGTGAACGGGTTACTCGATATGCAAGCGAAGGCTACTGTGGTTACGTCAGTTTTAACAAAACTGAAGTGTTGTGGGGCAAATATGATGGCTGTTGAACTGTTCGCTGAGCTTGGCAATTTTGTTGCAAACGTTTCGTCACCAATCGAGGTGACATCATCAGTGCGTAGTTGAGTGGCGTGTAATAGCGTAGAGGAGCCTCGGTGAGAGTGCGCTGAGCGTGGTGTGCGTGCGTTTTTATACCGCCGTGGAGCCGAGCAATCCTATTGGTTGGGACTTCGCTCCGCGTTCAACTTGGTTGATGGGTAGATGACCTTTGACCTCGCCTCCTTGTGTTTCGTGGCCTTTGTCTGCTTGCTCCTGCGAGCGAGTTTGCCGTCAGTCCTGTTGGTCTAGTCACACGTTCCACCGGATTCAATCAATCGAGTTGGCGGTCGTTCCTCAGTAGTGTGGTGTATACTGCGTCCAGTTCCATGTATCGATTGATTGAATGCGTTGTAGAGTACCAAGCTTTCAAAAACTCCCTCGCGTGTTTTGTTCCTCCATGGGCTAGGACCTATACGTTCTCCAGATCGAAATGGTGGCCTTCTTGATCTTCATGCGCAGAAACCAATGAGTGTGGATCATGTCTTCTGACGGCCGCCCTGTGTTCGGTGATTCGTGTACAAAGTCTTCTTCCAGTTTGTCCGACGTAGTTTTTATCGCAGTCGCTGCATTTGACCTGGTAGATGACGTTGCATTGGTCTGCTTGATTGACTTTTCCTTTAGGTCTTGAGATCAATTTTCTTAGGGTGGCACTTGGTTTGTGCGTCACAGAGATTCCATGTGATTACAGCAATCTTCCTGTTAGTTCGGAGACGTTCTTGATGTAGGGAAGCACCGTCCGTTTGTTTGCTTGATCTGATGACTGCTGCTGTTGCTGAGTCATACGTTTCTTTAAGCTTCTTCTGATGAAATTTCTCGGATAACCGTTCTTTCTAAGCACTCGACATAG